GGGGGGGGGGCTCTTCTGAGAGTAGAACATTTCTCAACTCTGTATAGGCATACAGTCAAGAAAAAGGACGAATTAATTGGTCTCCAACAACACACAGGGATGCAGTCAACCCCTTAACGTATACATGCACACACGCACATACATACACATAAGCGAAGATATCAAGATTTATATGTAGGCTACACATTATGGACACTCACACCACACGCATGTCAGCGCGTGCACACACAAATACAAACACATACACACATACACATGCACACTAATTGTGCACGCACACACAGTCTCGCACGTACACAAACAAACACACACACACACACACGCGCGCGCGCGCACGCACGCACACACACAGTTTTCGGGCATGATTCTGACCCATCTACTGAGAACAAAGAGCAACCGATTAAAATCATAGGCACAAGTATATCTAAATGTTCAGTACAGAAATTAAAGAAAACAACAAGTAATTTCATTATCGAGGGTTATCGGGTTTCCAGAATGGAACATTTGAACCTTAGCTCCACATTACAGCTCTTTAATAATGTCTCTGTCTCCTGTCATGATATAATGAATCATTCTATAATATATTTGTTAGGGCTCAGAAATGAAAGAGTGATCACTCAGCATATATCAAAGGATTAAAAAACCACACCCATGCTTAATAACCAACGCTTTCAACCCAAGGAACACAAACAATCACAAGCAGACAGGCCGACTAATACAATCATGTTTCATTATGGAAAACGGACTAGTCAGTTCAAAACAATGAGATAGTTTAATGTTGGATAACACCCATTTTGCTCCTTTCGTTTTAACGGATAGATTCTACAGCTTTTCTTTCTCCCAGTGACTGGCGGAGCTCTTAGGTGTTAACGTGGCAATTCTCACCTGAGGCAATCTGAATTTTCAATTAATCTTGGTCTTCACACTTACGTGGAGGCATTGCTTTGATTAAATTTATTTATTAATTCCCTTCTATCTCTTCAGCGTGCCAATGTCTACGATAACAAGCAACCCATTGTCGCAATGAAATCACGGGGGCAGTGTCTCCTAGAAATGTGATTTCTCTTTCTTTCGTGGTAAATTATGTGGGCGTAAGATCTACCTGGACAAGGGTAATCTACAGCAGGTGTTGCAGGTAAAAATAAATGAAGGAGGACACTGCAGGCATGTACACATTTTCTAATATGAAATGAGACTGTGTGGTTCACTAATGAAATGAGACCCTATTTTTCTACCGTTCTCGTTTATAGGTTGGGTTATTTTTTCGTTAAAGATATTTCTCTGCCCCCATCTACCCCCCCCCCCTTCCTTACCCCAGTCACCCCTGGGTCAGTTGAAGTAGAATAGTCGAATGCCATCTCAAATGGTCGAGGTTTTAGCCCGTAACAGACCCATAGCTTGGCTGGTGGTCGAGAGCTCCACTTTCTAAAGGAATATTTTTTCTGCATCTAGTAGAATGGTCCACTTACCGAAAAAATGCGAAAACAGAGGAACAATTTTCCTCTAAAGCTAGACCTGCCCTAGATGCATTCCAAAACATAATTTAGATTGTACTGGGCCATTGTGTTTGTCACTTACTTTGTTAATTTGATAGTTATTATTATCATTATTTGGCGGGGTATGTCTAAAACAAATCAATTTCTTAAACAGCAGCTGCTCTCCTATACTGTTGTACAAAACACTATGAAGCCATGAGATGAGGTATCAAAGTGATGAAAGCTGATTCTCCAAAGAGTTTACTACTGGATATATTTATATTAAATAGGAAACATACCAAAGTCTGCGTTCACTTCAATTTCTAAACTTCACAGATGAGAACGTTTGAATCAAACAGGTACTCCACTTTGTCACTAAAGGCTTTTGTCTTTTCATTTTGAAAGACATAATATTAAGTTTGTTCCAGAAGATTTTTCTTCCCTCATTGTACATGACAGGCGTGTGATACCGCGTTTTTCCTATTACGTAGTTATACAAGACAGACTCTTGTTGCTGTGTTGATTATCCCGCTACTTGGAAAACTGATCTAACATCTACCTGTATAGGACAATCATCTGTAGGCCTGCAAACATCCATTTCTCATCTCCCATCCCCCCTCCCCCCCAATCCCCCCATGTGCATTTTTTTACCTTACAATGACAACGTGTAATACGCCTAAGACTTTTTTCCTCAGCAATGGATGGCCCTCTTTGAAGACAAGAATTTTGACTGTACTTGGCAAACTATTGAAATTTTGTGACAAAACTGCTACAAAATGTAGTAACTGCTGTTATGTGGAAAGAGAAAACAAAATTCAACTGTTCTTGTGAACCTGAACCACCGCTGAATGCCTTACAACAAAACAACAAGAGCAACTGCAGTGACACGAGAGCCCTCCCTCACCCCCC